AGGCAAGTTCGTTTGCGGTCGGAAGTACACCCACAATTTCGTTGTTGTATGCAATGCAGGCACACGTAACCTGCCCACCAGCCAGAGGCCGTGATGACAAAAAGAAGATACAGGCTCAGCTTGTTAGTTCATTAGCTTCAGAACTGGTAATTTTCCACTTTCGGTTAAAAGATTCCATGAGGCCACTGTTTTTCTGGCTTTGGGTCCGCGCGCGCACGCGCGCGCGCGCCTCCGACGGCCGTTTTCAAAGCCCAGAAAGGCGCGCGCGCGCGTGCGGACCCAAGCAGCCGAAACCAAGCGGAAAATTGCCATGCGGAACAGCATTTGGAACAAACGCATCCAGCGGCAACGAAACCGCAATCAGCGTCTTGCTCCTCAAGCAGTTTCTAGCACGGCCTGGGAAGAGTACGTTGCACTCTCTAGAATAGAAACAGGCGTAATTTTTGCCCCGAAATAGTGACATGAATCAGTAAAATAAGGAGGGTCTAAACCAAGTAGGCTCACGGACTTGGCCAACGAGCCCATGGCCCAGCCGGTAAAGCGAGGAAAAGCCATTCTTGGACCTGGAGACTCGAAACGCTCTGCGGGGACGAGCAGTTGGAAGGCCTGGATCCTGGGCTTCGTCATCGGTTGGGTTGCTTGTTTCTTTTGGCTGCTGTACGGTGAGGGTCCGGAGCTATGAGTAGTTTTGAGCTAGACCGTTTTTGCAGAAGCTATGATTCGTGCACGTTCCTGTGTGACTTGTGGCGCAGCTTCAAAATCGAGACGCGCATTTTCGCCTTCTTGACAACAATGAAACAGGGCCGAATTTCCATGGCCTGTATAGCCACTTGGGCTGACCGAAGCGAAGTTGCACTGGCAGCCACGTGCCACCGTTTGGAGCTAGACAGTGTCTTGTCGACTTGGTCGGTGGAAACGCCGCCCATAGAAGTGCTTTGACCATAGGCTGAAGGATAAAAAGAATGAATCGAGTAGTTTTCTCTTATCAAGCGAACAAGAACTGTGCATGCACTGCCAACCTAAATCACATCAGCACAGGTAACCAGTCAACGCACCAGGGACATCAAACTCCCGGACAAAAGTGTTGATACGCCTCTGCAGCAGTGACGGCTCGAAGGCAGTGCAGAGATACTTCCCTAAAGATTATTCTAGACAAAAGTTGCACGTCTAAGCCAACTACTTTGCATAATAATAACTTAATAGACTTCGGAATAGAGTAACCCAGACAACGTGTGACTTTACTGTCTTGTAAGCCAGTCAGGGTAGTTAGAAGAGCAATGAGTTCGGGGCTCGATTCACACGCAGCCTTTAAGGCACGCGCTTTGGAGATAGGCCTTAGTCCAGATGTGATAGAACTCTTGAAAGCCGGCGGTGTCACTTCTTTCGGTTCATATGCATTCGTGACGTCCTATCAACCAGGGCAGCCAGATGAGACGCCACTGATCGAAGCTTTGACCAAGGTGATGCATCGTGCACCGTCCGCTGAGGAAACCATCCCGCTAAGGCGCCTTTTCTTCGAGAGCTGCACCTTGGCCATTAGCGATTTGAAACAGAGGACTGAAAGGGATGAAACCGCTGAGCCGTCTCGTATGCCAGTTGCCGAGCGGAATGCACGGCTACAGGAACAGCAAAATCGTTTGAAAGGCATTCACTTCAGCCCAGAGACCGAACCGAGTCACAAGCTTGTTGATCTGGTCTGTCAGATGAGCACGGACCAGACCTTAGAATGGATTCCATGGGAAAAGCTGACAAGTCGTGCTAGTGAAGTGACGCATACACAGAAAGACCTTAAGCTTGCCTTTGATGCCACAGGTTCGTTGAAGTAGCCCACAAGGACCAGACACCCGATGCGGCCGTGACTGGAGAGCTCAAGGTGAGGCAGGCTTTGAATCGTAGGTCAAGAGCTTTCGATTTAGCAAAACTGTGTTCTTTTACCCGGATGGAAGAGTGGCGTGAGCGAGTGTTTGAAGTCTTGCAGAAGGAACCAGCAGCAAACGCTATGCCTGTCACATTGCAACAAGTGCGAGAAGCCGACAAGACACTTTTCAAGAAGCTGTCCGAGAAGACACGAGGACGCGTCACTCAGGCACCAGACGGCACCAACCCGATGGACACCTTCTTAGACGCATGCATGGACAGTGCTGAGGTACAGTTTTGTCTCATTCCAATGGTTCGAGCTGCAAGGGTTCCGCCTACTCTTTCACACTCTGACCATCCCAAGGGGGGGGAAGGGCAAATGGTCCAAGCCAAAGAGCAATTTCGTTAAAGGGCAACAGAAAGGTTTGCAACTGCCACCAAACTGTCATCAGATGACGCCAGACAAGAAGCCGATTTGTAACAACTTCAATCGCACATCCTGCCCATTTGCAAAAGAGGGCAAACGCTGCAAGAGAGGTTTTCATGTGTGTTGGCAGTGCTTCAAACCGAAGCCCCACCATTCTTGTGACCATTCGTAACCAAAAGCCTCCCCGCTGGGGAAAGTAGTGAGCCGAACAGAAAGCGAGTGAAGGGTGAACCAAGCGATCGCCCAAATCTTTTTCCATCAGATCTTCCTATTTTTCCACAGCCTTCGAATTCAAATGTGCAACCAAGAGCTGTTTTTTGTGAAGTTTTTGCTGGATGTGGCCGCCTTAGTAAGATCGCATATGAACATGGCTTTGGCATTTTGCCAGTTGATGGCCCCAGAAATGAGCACACGCCCGAATGTCAACTCCTCACCTTGGATCTAACAGAATCCGAAGAACAGCAATGTCTGATCCAGATGGTTTCATCCATTCGCCCTCAGGCAATACATGTGGCACTGCCTTGCGGCACAGGCAGCCGCGCCCGCGATGATGCAAGACCTGGGATGTTGATTGGGAATTTTCGGGCGACGCCGTATCCTCTATGGCGAGCCGAATTTTCCAGAATTGTCGAAGACGTAGCCTAAGGTTTAGGGTTAGGGTTTGGCAGGTTTACCTGTTCCGCTGCCTGTCGGGTTCTTTGTTCTTGAACGTTCTTCGTTCAAGGATCTTAGGGATGAGATTGTTATGTTGAAGGAGTCAAGCCATGTGACTCCAGAGTGTCTCTGAGAGATCCTTGCAAATGCTTGTTGCTTGCCGTGTTGCTTGGAATGGCTTGAAGCTTGTTGAGTTGTCGTTGATGACCGTTTGATGCCAAGGCTGGGATTTTAGTCGATGAGCTTAGTTGAAAAAGAAAGAGAAGAAGAAGAAGAAGAACAAGAAGAACAAGAAGAACAAGAAGAAGAAGAAGAAGAAGAAGAAGAAGAAAAAGGAAGAAGAAGACGAAGAAGAAGAAAAAAAGAAGAAGACACCATAAAAAAAAACAAGAAGAAGAGAAAGAAGAAGAAGCAGAGGAGAAGAAGAAGAAGACAGAAAACAGAAGACAGCAGAGGTAGATAGCAATAGGTAGTGCAGGTAGTGACCCAAGAAGGGGTGAAGATGTAGGGTGAGGAGAATGGCTCACCACATGCACCTTTGTATAGGGATTTTAACTTGTTTGCCTCTTGGAGTGGTGCCTCTCTGTGTTCTGGGTCCTCTCTAGGTGTTTGGAAAGGTTACAGCTTCAACCATTTCTTAGGAGAATGTTTGTGAATGTCATGTGAAGCATCTTGATTTTTTGAAGTGGTCTTGGAAGACTTCTTAGTTGTTTCTTTAGCTTAGAGAAACTTTTGGACCTTTTTGAAGGTGTAGGTACAGAGTCCTGTTCCTTGTTGGCTACGTGAGACGCTTGCCAAAAGCCGAATACCGTGCTTTTGGCTCAAGAGCGGGAGTGTGAAAGGTCTGCTGCGCCGTCCGTGTGTTTTCACACACTTTCCTTCTCCCAACCCTCTCTCCTCCAAACCGGAGAAGACTCAACCCGCAAGAACAAGGGAGTACAGTGACTTTTAGAGCTCCAACCGGGGAACTCGTGACCCCTTGACTTGCCCAGATCAACACCGCATTATAAACACGACAAACTGCCCGGTCAGGTCAAGCAAAGCACACAATTTGAACGCTATTTCAAACCCAAAAATGAAGACATTTCTGGCTTCGGAAGTTCGTCGTTTTCTGGCGACCGGTTGCAGTACCCCCTCAGTCGAATGTTGGCACATGGAAATTTTGATTTGTGATTGACAAACTTTGACCTTAGGAGGGCAAGTGAGGCTCTGTTGTTGAAGAAGTGGAGGCTCGAAGTGATTCATCAAGTGGGTGCCAAAGCTTTGTTGGTTGCAAGACGTGAGAAACCAAGTCTCAAAAGTTTTGCCATTCCAACGCAGACAAACATAGCAGATTTGAACGCAAAAAAACTTTCGGCGGCAAGGAAAAAATAACAAAGTGGTCAACAGCAATTGTATTTGACGGTTGTGATTTTGCTGGTGTTGGACCGTTTCAATTGGTTGTGCACACATTGGGATGAAGTGACGACCTTGTTGACTGCAAGAGGAAAAAAGAGAAAGGTAGAAGAAACACAAGAGGAAAAGGTGCTGATGTGAGTTGAAAATGTGGATGAGAGAGCCAGGGCAAGACCTCGCTTTGGGCATCAGGAGCCAGTTCTTCGAATCAAGCTCTAATGCCCAGGGCTCCAAGATTCCCGCCACCTCCGACAACATTACAAAGCAACAAATTTACCGGAACGTGCAAAAGGTGCAGCGTGGTTTGACTCAAGAATGCGCCTGCATTTGGAGTTCTACTAGATCAAAAATCCAAACCTTGCCCAAACGCGATACAGATGGTGCTCGGATTGGGTGGTTTTGTGGGTTTCACCATCAAGAAGTCGGTGATAGCATCATCAACATTGGTGCAGTCGAAAACAAATTGCATGTTGTTGCCACACTCATTTGGAGGAAGGGCACTGAAAACAAGGGAACATAGGGAAACAATTTGGTTGATAAACATTTGTTGGAACTATATAAATTTTTGCAGCCTTCGAGTGCAACGTTGAAATTCCAGATGCCCTGCCCAATCTTTTTTTGATCAGGTGACGGATCGATTCCATGCTTTCCGTTGCATTTTCGATGTTCAAGTTGATTACTTGATCGGCTGCTGCCCTAAAGAAGCATAGGTGCAGCTGGCTGGGTGGATTGGGGAAGTTGATTTGAACATTAAGGTTGGTTGCTCAGTTGAGTTGTGAGATGCTTCCTCAAACATAAGCACGGTCCGTGCATGTTTTACATTTCAATTGACACAGACTTAACACCCTTTTGCCAGGACAGCCATGGTTATGGCGCAACAGAATCCAAATTTAGCAAGGCGGGAACAAATTTAAATTCTTCCACCTAATCCGTGATGTAGTTTTATTTCTACATTCTCAACTGCTAGTTGGGGTACGGCACAGTGGAGAGTGTATTGTCGCCATTAGAGTGCATGCAAAAGTGGGTAGAGCGGAGGCTACCCATACCAACACACGGTACTTCTTGTTTTTATGTAGCTGTAGCTGTTCACCAATACCATAGTCATCCTCGTTGGAGGCACGTGATGACATTTGCAGGAACAAGGACGCTACTAGGGGCTCCTGGCCTTGCTACTAGGAGCAAGGACGCTACTAGTAACAAAGGGCATCGCTACTAGGAACAATGACGCTACTAGGGGCTCTTCGATTCTTCAATGCGATCATTCGTGACAATTGTGAATTTTGTCCAAAATGTTTTCGGAGATCTTCAGGCTCCGGGGCTTTCAGGCTGAGCTTTCGCGCCTTTCGAGCAGGTCCCGCTACAATGCGGCCTTCCAGTCCTCCATCTTTGAGCCGCCCTCCGAACAGTTGCAGAGCACTTTTGTGCCTGCAGGCAGAACCATGTGCTTACCCTCTGATTATCTACTTACTTCCAATATGGAGTATGTCACTTTGGTCAGCGAGTTAAGTTGGTGCTCTTTATTGTCCTGTTTACACATCGATCCTTGCGGTTTGCCCCACATCAGGCAAGCGGAGGGATCAGACGACAGCAGAGATTTTCGGCAATTACGACGAGAAGGACAGCTCCAAAAGAATGCTCACCTGCTTGTATTTGCTTGCTGCTCGGAGTTTGTTCAATTTGTCGGTTTTATTTGTCAAATATGTTAAACTTTTGACGAAGTCTAAAGGTTAGGCTTCTGGTGTGTTGTGTTTGTCTGATTTCTGACTGTTTGTGGGCATGGCCTATGAATCCACCCAAAGAGAGTAGTAGGATGTAGTAGGACATGTTTTCTCTTGAAGCAAAGCGGTTTCCTGCAGCTGCAGGACTTGCGCGCAATGCCCAAGACCTTTGTTCCCAAGGAGATCGCTGGGCAGTGTCCAGACAGATTGTGTACTCAGTGTACTCTCTAGCTCATTCGCAGTACCTGTCGTACGCTGCATTTGCAAAGGGTGACCGAGTTTTCGGAACACTAATGCGCCTTTCTTTTTCTCCTCATGTGCCTGACGCAGTTATCCAGCTAATGGGAGCGTATCGAGTCAAGTGGGATATTGGAACAGCTTGTGGTGTGGACTCTGGCTCTAGGCTTTCACACGTTTGCCTTTCACGTGTCCTTTTTGAAGAAATACTTGTGAGCTGGTTTGTCGGCTTGGTGAGCAAGAGTGAAGCACTCAGTTTGGAGCTGAAAGATATCGGATCAGGGGAAGGACACTCTCATGAAAACATAACCAGTTTGACCAGAAACTCGAGTTGTCGCTTGACCAGAATTGAACCGCTTACTTGTCCGCACCTGCAGGAGGACAACATGTCAGCGCGACAAAGGAAATATCACTTTCTTTGTGCCTCGTTGGCAACATGGCATGCCAACGTTGTCACTCTGTTGGAGGCGAAAGCAACTTCCACGGCTTGAGCAGGCATTTGCATTGACCTGGAAGATGGTAGGGAAATTATAGATTGTGGTTCTGAGCCTCAAAGCTCTCTCTCTCTCTCTGTCAGCTACTCAGGCTCAGAAGTCTTGCCAGCCAGCAACTACCCTTTGCCAGTCCCGGAGGCCATTGAAAGGTCCTTTGCCGCCTTTTGCTAAATTGAATCGCCAATACCACGAGATCACTGAAGTTCGGTTTTTGCTCCACGAGTAGACGGGACATTCAGTGTGTGAACGAGTTTAGTGGGATATGTCTAAAGCGGTGCTTTGCATTGCAATCCCTCACTGTTGGCTCAAAGGCAGGCGAAGAGCGCAGAGCATCTGGCTATCCTGAGGCCAGAGCTCCAAGGGTAGAGATCTACCCCAATTGATCTAGGTCTCAGTGCTCCTCCTATGGCAAGCAGACAAACGCTGAGTTTGATGGTGCAAGCATTTTGTTTGATGGTGCTGCGTTCAAGGGTCTTCGCTTTCGAGTTCACAGGTGCAGGATGAGGATGAGGACCCACGCATTGATACGGCGCTGGTCCGACAGATGCAGCTCTCCTCGAACATGTTTGGCACGGAGTCCGAGTGGCAAAAGGAATTCTTGTGGCCGTCCGAGTGCCGTCCGATGTAACGCTGCAGATGGGAGGTCGGGCAGGGGCGAATGCCGAGGTCGTGCTGCGGAGGTGAAGCCTGAGGTGGTTCATGATCCCTCAAACCGGCTTATGCCCAATGGTGCGCGGGGGAAGTGGGATGACCAGTGGATGGAAAGCAGTTGAGCTCTAGGCGTAGAACACGCACGTGACAAAGCCGTACCATGGAAGCATACACATTAGTATGCATGCAGACTGATTCAATGCCCTTGAACAGCCTTTGTGCAGACTGCCGGAGTCTTCCTGTCATTCAATCCGGCCCTTGCAGATTTTGTGTGGCACAGCCATCCCGAGAAGCCTTTGTCACCGCGTATGGTGGACTTCGGCTTGTTTTTGTCGTGGTGACAACAGGAACTTTCAGTGTCTTGAACAGTTTCATCATCCTTTTGACAATCTCTTTGCTGCTTTCGCACCATGGGTTTCCCTAGCACGAATTAGAACAGATGACAGCGCCACGCAGATGGAACAAGGAACAGACTTCCAAGTTTGTTCCTCTTCCAAACAGGGGTCTTTCTTGCCAAAAAA